AACCACATCTCATTTAATCACCAAAATAATACAATAAAGGAAATATTATTGTGACACCCATTTTACAGAAAGAAACCCTGAGGTTTAGATGAAGTTTCTCACTTGCCAAATGTTTCCTTGGTTGTAGCTTCACTGTCTTCCACTGACCTCTTTTCCTCAGCATAGCAGTGTAGTCAGACTCTCCAACTTTAAAATTACTCTTCCTCCTCTACCTTCAAGCTGTAACCCCATCTCCCTCCTTCACTTAATGGCATTAACAACCGAATTCTTTAATTTGGTTTTCTACAGCACCTATCACAACTTCACAAGTCGGACAAATGGCAGTCTTCCTGGGCTCCACCTTATTGCCCTCTTTTCAAGTCTTCTGCTGTGTTTGGGAATTAATTGGATTCATAGTTGCCTGTATCCTACAATCCTTCAGTATTTCAGTCCCATCTGAGGTCACCAAACACAGCCAATGACCCTCGAGGGATTTTTAGGGGACCAACATAGTCAAAGACGTGCTAAGAAAAGAATATCATTTTAATCATGTATAAAAAGACTAAAAATATTTTTAAATAGAGGAAATAAGTGCTGTGCAATCGTAGGTGTGAAATATCTTTCTTTACCTTCTAGGATCCCTCCTTAGCTGATTCTCCCTTTGACCTTAAGTCTATAAGCGGGAACAGGGGGAAAGTGACATGTCACTGGGCCTTTTTGTCAGGGTTTTTTTTTTTTTTAAATTGTGGAGATTGTTGCTAATTCTTCAAACAGATTTACCTAAGTCCCTTTTCTTGTTGGTTAATTCACATGAAGGGAAGAAAATAACTTGGGAGGCAAAGAGTTTGTCCACATTACACCCTGTTATTTTAAATAATAATCTATTCCACTAGATTTTTATGAAAAGTATAAATTAGGTAGATACTGCTTATAATGCCAAATATGAAAGTATATTTCCCACCGAGCTTTATCAGTTGCTTTTTGTATATGGCACTATTACACAAGAGGTGGTGTCACGAAGAGGGAAGAACTTTGCATACTTGAAGCCAACGTCACCAGGCACTGCCATAGAATCCACTCAGGACTGACTCGGCACTGGGGTCTACAGGGCTGTGCACTGTGTGGAGTGTGCACTCCTTTGTACTCCTTTCCTTTGTGAACTGCACGAAGTCTAAAATGCGTATTTATCTCTAAATATACTCAAACAGTGGATGAAAACATTACTTTCAAACATCCTATCCCAGCTTCTCTGTTGCCTACAACGTAAAATTCAAATTACCGGCCAGAGGACTCCAGGCCTCCGGAATCCGACCCTGGCCAACTTGTGCACCCTCATCTCTCCCCATTCTCCAGCATCTAAGTACGGCCATTTCCACAATTCTATCAGAGCTCCGGGCCTCTGCTCAGGCCTGGAATGCCACAATCTGGCAAACCCCTGCTCATCCTTCAAGTCCCAGCCCAAGTCCAGGTTCACTTCCCCTGCGAAGCCAGCTCAATTCCCCAGGCAAATCAAGATATCCATTCCTTGTAGGGTTTCCCACAGAACTTCATTATATAAAAGGGCTTCAAACTACATCTTATTTCTTTACCTCTATCACTTCTCCCACTGTCTGACCCTTGAAGGCAAGAGCTTCATCTTTCCATCTGTGTCCCCAGCAAGCTCCTATAAGTAGCATAATAAGTGCTACTTAAGGAATTGCTTAATAAAACTCTGAATTCTCAATAAAATTCATTCTCTATTGAATGAATGAATATCCATCAAAAGTTATGGTTCTAAAATTCTACAGAAATTGCCTTCTCAAAAGTCTTCGATGACCTCCTTCCTTCTTGCTGTTCATCCTTGGTTTTTGTTTACTTCTGAGACAGGGTCTTGCTCTGTCACCCAGGCTGGAGTGCAGTGACGCGATCACAGCTCACACCACAGCTTCAACCTGCAGACTCAAGCAATCCTCCCACCTCAGCTTCGAGAACAGCTGGAACCACAAGTGCCCATCACCATGCCCAGTTAACTTTTTTATTTCTAGTACAGACAGGGTCTCACTATGTTGCCCAGACTGGTCTCGAAGTACTAGCCTCAAGCAAGCCTCCTCTCAGCCTCCCAAAGTGGTGGGATTACAGGTGTGAGCCACTGCACTGGCCACTGACTAAATTTTAAATGCCAGTCTTAAGAATACATCATGATTTTTAAAATTCCAACATACAAAAGCCAGTATTCTTAACGTCAGGTTTGACTGCCAGAGTCATTCATTCTGACCCTGGTACATTTACTAAATGTGAAATCAGCTGTCAGTTTTCAGCTGCAGACTATTAACACATGGAATAACAGCTAGACAACAGAAAGGGGAGCCCATGGAAATAACACTTTAACTGTCACTAACACTTTAACTGTCACTTCAAACTAAATAAGATACCCTAAGAAAAGAAAAAAAGCTATTATATCAGGTTTATCCATTACACTAAATGTACACATATTGTCAAAGCACTCAAAGGTCTAAAAGATGTCTCTTTCTCATGGACATGCAAAATAATTCAATATGTAGACTTATTCAAGTTACTGTGAACAATGTTAATATTACTTATTATTCATTTAATTTTTTTATATTCCACTTAAACAATTTAAGTCTGCTTTTTCTCGTTCAATGTGAATGACACTGAATTCCTCACTTAACAAATCTGATTCCAATACTAGATTCACTTACTTTTTTCAGGCCAGCAAAGCCTTCTGATTCCAGAAAGAAAAAGGCAAAGGGCATCAATACAAATAAACAAAGGTTGGAAAAAAGGGAAGCAAGATTCCACAAACCTATAAAAAGGATAACAAGAAAAGAAGAAAAACAGGTTAGATATTGAAATTGCAATCTTAATCAAGATCTATACTTTTAAATAGTAAAAATAAACATAAGTAACAAATGAGATAAACTTAGAAATCATAAAAGAATTATAGTACATATTTATTTAAAGTTTTTTAACATTGTAACTTATACCTACTGGGAAAAGTCAGTATAGAAATTAATGTTTTTTCCCATGCCCTAAAATAAATTCACTAAAAATATGACGTGTGCAGAGATCCAAAGAAACTGCCTCTTTAGACATATAGGCACCGGAATATTTAAATTAGAGTCACTAGCGTTTATTGAGCCCTTAATAAATGCCAGATACTCTACTGAGCATTTTACATGCATAATCCCATTTAATTTAGGCCTCATAAAAACTCTAAAAATAATAATTAGCATTTATTGAGCCCTTATGTGCCAAGCACGATTCTAAATGATTTACAGATATTATCCAAACTCATTTACTCACCCAGCAATCCCACGAGGCAGGTAACGTTACTGCCCCAACATGACAGAAGCATGAGCTGGCTATGCAACTTGCTAAGGCTGTATAGCCTGCAAGTGGCGGAGCTGACTCTTAGTTCCTGGGATTTTAGAAAATGACTACATCACAGAAATTTTGGTAAACAATTCCAAGTGGGAAAGAAAAAGTCACAGAGACTGGCAATCTCAAAGTGACCTTTTCTTCCTTTGGCACAAAATGGCAACTAAAATAACAAGAACAGATTTAGTAAAAGACAGAGCCCTGTTACCTATGCCATTGGGAGGGTATTTGGCCCAACATGTCACATCATATTTTTCACAGGTAAAAAACTAAAATTTAAAACTGAGTTTCAAAATGATGAGGAGGATAATCATTACAAAAGTTTATAAAATTGAGAGTCAAAGATAAAAATTACGCCAAGGATAAATTCAATGAACTGTATGCAATTATAATTTGAAGTTTTTGAAAGTAGGCAACTGATGCTTTTTCAACACCTTTATTTCCAAACAGTGCTAAAAGCAGTGGAGATCTGGTGATGAACACACACACAACACCCCTGCTCTCACAGTTGTTCCTGCTACAGATACGCATGCGGAGACTAACTCTGAGCTGGCAGTGAGTACAGGGAGCAGAGCTGTCCCCAGCTACTGCAGTTATGAACAAACATAAATGTTTGTACCTGTCCTAATGCCCTTTGGAATAGCATGCAGTGTAAACAAACACAATTAATTTAGCACTTAATATGGGTCAGCTGGGGAGATTCACTTCCTTTAGTAGACAAGGTAATATAATAAAATCAACTCACAATTTTGTATTCAAAAATCTATACAGATATAACAAATTTACAACATACATTTATCTTTGTAGGAAGTAAAAATTTTTAGAAAATAATACCTTAACATCTTTTAGTGGAAAAACTGCAATTTGAACGATTTAAAATTTTAAAAAATTTAAATACTTTTATACTTTCCAGCCTTTAAAAAAAGCCAAACATTCTGTTTTCTTTATTCAAAAAGAGTATAATTAGAGTCAATTATTTTATTGTGCTAATAAACAGAAGGGCACATGGAATGATGGCTGCATGCACACAACTGAGTTCCAGCAGCCCTGGGTTCACATCCTGTCTGCACTTCCACGTGACAACTTTCAGCTATAAAATACGGCTAATGACGGGTCTATAGATGTTGTTAAGTATTAAATAATGCACGTACAACAGTTGGCACAATGCCTGTCATAAAATAAGCATTTAATGAATTTTTGCTTTGATTAACAGTTACAGCACCAGAGGCTACTAGTAACAGTGCTGTCAGCTCCCACACCAACTACCATCCTTCCCGAGACTCCAGCTCACTTGCTAGCTCTCCCTTCCATCTTCCTTTCTACCAGGTACATCAGCTCCTGGTTTCTGCTCCTAGAAACGAGCGTGTGTCCAGCAACAATCTCCTCCCTCCCCCAACAGGCTATGGGTAAAGGTATCATATTTGCAACTTTTAAAAATTATATCTAAAGAGTAAATGGATCAAAGCTGTACCTCCCAGGTCCAATTCATAACCTCAAGTGCATGGTCTTTGGCTTCTCTTTTGCCTGCCCAAGAGCATTTTCTCTTCTTTACAGTTTCCAAGTAAGTTACTTGCAGACATGTGAGGTATAACAATAATTAGTATTATGTAAAGTACATAAGTACTATTATTTAGTAGGCTAGAGAACCATGATTGTTATTCTACTGCTTAGTTTAGGCATGGTGAAAGAAAGAAATGTCAGTTTCATCATTTGTGTTATAAAAGATAAAGGTCAGGCCGGGCGCGGTGGCTCAAGCCTGTAATCCCAGCACTTTGGGAGGCCGAGGCGGGTGGATCACGAGGTCAAGAGATCGAGACCATCCTGGCCAACATGGTGAAACCCCGTCTCTACTTAAAATACAAAAAATTAGCTGGGCATGGTGGTGCGTGCCTGTAATCCCAGCGACTCAGGAGGCTGAGGCAGGAGGACTGCCTGAACCCAGCAGGCGGAGGTTGCGGTGAGCCGAGATCGCGCCATTGCACTCCAGCCTGGGTAACATGAGTGAAACTCCGTCTCAAAAAAAAAAAAAAAAAAAAAAAAAGATAAAGGTCAGTGTGTCAAGAATTATACTCATTTTACACAACATAGTTTTAATCCAATTAAATATTTCACAGTCCTTTTAAAAAAACATTTTTAAAAGTTATCTACTACAGGTATACCTATAGTAGATAACTTTTTAAGTTAGTTATCTGGGGTCTAGTTAAAGAGGACTGCATGTTACTATACTGCGCTTTGCAGATACTGCATGAAGGTCTGTGGCAACCCTGTGGTGAAGTCTACGGGTACCATTTTCCCATTACCACGTGCTCACTTCATTTCTCCAAGTCATATTTTGGTAATTTTCACAATACTTCAAACTTTTTCATTATTATTACATCTGTTATGATCTGTGATCAGTGATCTTTGATTATTAATTACTATTTTCATGTTTTGGGGCACATCAAATTGTGCCCATAAAAGACACCGAACGTAATCAATAAATGTTGTGTGTTGACTACTCCTCCAATGGGCCATTCCCCCATCTCTCCCCTACTCTTAGGGCCTCCCCATTCCCTGAGACACAACAATATTGAAACTAGATCATGTAACAACCCTACAATGTCCTCTAAGTGTTCAAATGAAAGGAAGAGTCACCCATCTCTCACTTTTAATCAAAAGCTAGAAGCTTAGTGAGGAGGCATGTCAAAAAACAAGACAGGCTGAAAACTAGGCCTCTTGTGCCTGTTAGCCACATTGTGAATGCAAAGGAAAAGTTCTTAAAGGAAATTCAAGTGCTACTCCAGTGAACATACAAATGATAAGAAAGCAAAACAGCCTTATTGCTGATATGGGGAAAGGTTTTGTGCTCTGGATAGATCAAACCAGCCACAACATTCCCTGGAGCCACAGCCTGAGTAAGGATGTAATTCTTCACATCTATGAAGGCTGAGGGAAGTGAGGAAGCTCCAAAACAAAAGTTTGAAGCTACCGGAGGTTGAAAGAAAGAAGCCGTCTCCATAACTTAACAGTGCAAGATGAAGCAGAACTGCTGATGGAGAAGCTGCAGCAAGCTCTCCAGAAGATCTGGCTAAGACATCAACGACAGTGACTGCACTAAACAACAGATTTTCAAAGTGAACAAAAAACAGCCTTACTCTGGAAGAAAACATCATCCAGGACTTGCTAGCCAGAGAGAAGTCAATGTCTGACTTCAAACCTTCAGTCAACAGGTTGACTCACTTTTTAGGGGCAAATACAGAAGGTGACTTTAAGTTGAAGCTGGTGCTCATTTACCATTCCAAAAATCCTAAAACCCCTAAGAATTATCCTAAGCCTACTCTGCCTGTGCTTTATAATAGAACAAAGCTGCCCAAGATGGCAGCACTTAGGTTTACAGCATGCTTATGAAACAGTTTAAGTGTACTGTTAAGACTTACTACTCAAAAAAAAAAAAAAAGATTTTCAAAATCCTACTGCTCACTGACAATGCACCTGCTGATGGAGATGAAAGAGCCCTGATGGAGATGTGTAAGAAGATTAATATTTTCATGCCTTACACAACATCCATTCTGCAGTCCATGGATCAAGGAGTAATTCTGGCTTTCAAGTCGTATTATTTAAGATACATTCTGTGAGGCTATAGCTGCTACAGATTCCTCTGAGGGACTGTGCAAAGTACACTGAAAACCTTATGGAAAGGATGCACCATTCTAGATGCCATTAAGAATATTAGTGATTCTATTTCTCCACATCCTCTCTAGGAACTGTTGTCTTCAGATTTTTTAATGATCACCATTCTAACTGACGTGAGATGGTATCTCAATGTAGTTTTGATTTGCGTTTCCCTAATGACCAGTGATGATGAACATTTTTTCCTATGTTTGTTGGCCTCTTATATGTCTTCTTTTGAAAAGTGTCTGTTCATAACTTGTGCCCACTTTTGAACGGGTTTGTTTTTTTCTTGTAAATCTGTTTTAGTTCTCTGCAGATTTTGGATATAAGTCCTTTATCAGATGGGTAGATTGCAAAAATTTTTTCCCATTCTGTTGGTTGCCAGTTCACTCTAACGATCATTTCTTTTGCTGTGCAGAAGCTCTGGAGTTCAATTAGATCCCATTTGTCTATTTTAGCTTTTGTTGCCAATGCTTTTGGTGTTTTAGTCATTAAGTCCTTGCCTATGCCTATGTCCTGAATGGTTTTACCTAGGTTTTCTTCTAGGGTTTTTATGGTGTTAGGTCTTACGTTTTAAGTCTTTAATTCATCTGGAGTTAATTTTAGTGTAAGGTGTCAGGAAGGGGTCCAGTTTCTGCTTTCTGCACATGGCTAGCCAGTTTTCCCAACGTCATTTATTAAACAGGGAATCCTTGTGTAAATTAGTTCAACCATTGTGGAAGACAGTGTGGCAATTTCTCAAGGACCTAGAAATAGAAATTCCATTTGACCCAGCAATCCCATTACTGGGTATATATCCAAAGGATTATAAATTGTTCTATTGTAAGGACACAGGCACACATATGTTCATTGCAGCACTGTTTACAATAGCAAAGACTTGGAACCCAAATGCCCATCAATGATAGACTGGACAGGGAAAATGCGGCACATATACACCATGGAATACTATGCAGCCATAAAAAACGGTAAGTTCATGTCATTTGTAGGGACATGGATGAACCTGGAAACCATCGTTCTCAGCAAACTGACACAAGAACAAAAAATCAAACACCACATGTTATCACTCATAGTCAGATGTTGAACAATGAGAACACATGGAAACAGGGAGAGAAGCATCACACACTGGGGTCTGTGGGGAGGGGCACTAGGGAGGGACAGTGGAGGGTAAGGAGTTGGGGAGGGATAATATGGGGAGAAATGCCAGATACAGGCGATGGGGATGGAGGCAGCAAACCAGCTTGCCACATATGTACCTATGCAACAATCCTGCATGTTCTTCACATGTTCTTCACCTTAGGTTCTAGGTACTCCAGAACCTAAAATGCAATTAAATATATATATATATATACTAAAATGGAATTTAAATATATACATATTTAATATATATATTATATATTATATAATATATATGATATAGTATATATATCATATATATTATATAATAATATATTATATATGTTATATGATAATATATATCTATAATATATATGTTATATATTATATATATATAAAGAATATTTGTGATTCATGGCGGGGGGTCAAAATATCAACCTCACCAGGAGTTTGGAAGAAGTGATGGGTTTGAGACCAGTGGAGGAGGTCTCTGCAGATGTGCTAAGAACAGCAAGAGGACTGGAATTAGAGGTGGGTCCTGAAGATGTGACTGAATTACTGAAATCTCATGATAAAACTTGAATGCATGAGGAGCTGCTTCTTAGGGATGAGAAAAGAAAGTGGTTTCTTGAGATGGAATCTACCCTGCTGAAGATGCTATGAACACTGTGGAAATGACAATAAAGGATTTAGAATATCACAAACTTACTTGACACCAATTTTGAAAGAACTTCTACTGTGAGTAAAATGCTGTCAAACAGCATCACATACTACAGAGAAATCTTTTGTGAAAGCACGAGTCAATCAATATGGCAAACTACACTGTTGTCTTATTTTAAGAAATTGCCACAATCACCCCAATCTTTGGCAAAATCAATGCAAGACCTCCACCAGCAAAAAGATTACAACTCGCTGAAGGCTCAGATAATTGTTACCATTTTTTAGCAATAAAGGCATGTACACATATTGCTATTGCACACTTAACAGATTACTTTACAGTGTAAGTATAATTTTTATATGCACTGGGAAACCAGAAATTTTGTGACTCACTTTATTGCCACATTTGCTTCAATGCAATAGATAGGAACCAACTTGCAGTATCTCCAAGATATGCCTGTAATTGTTAGGTATGTAACATAGCAGGCGTTGTTCTGGATGCATTAAGGCGCTACCTTTTTCTCTGAGACTGGGTCTCACTCTGTGGCCCAGGCCCAGGTGCAATCATGGCTCACTACAGCCTTGATTTCCTAGGCTCAGGTGATCCTCCTGCCTTAGCCTACCAAGTAGCTGAAACTATAGGCGCATGCCACCATGCCGGGCTGATTTTTGTATTCTCTGTAGAAATGAGGTTCCGCCATGTCATCCGGTCTGGTCTCGAACTCCTGGGCTCAAGCAGTCCACTCACCTCAGCCTCCCAAAGTGCTGGGATTACAGGTGTGAGCCACTGCACTCAGCCAGGTGCCACCTTAACATTTTATGACAAGGTAGGTCCTCCTTTTTACAGCCTTCAGGTTCAGAGATGTGCCCTTGTCCCACAGCAAGAAAAAGTTAAGCCATTCCTTCTAAAATACTATAATGTTTTTAGGCAATATAAATTCCCCCACTTCCTAAACAACTATTTTTTTTTTCTTTTGAGATGGAGTCTCACTCTGTCACCCAGGCAGCAGTGCAATGGCACGATCTCAGCTCACCGCAACCTCTGCTTCCCAGGTTCAAGCGATTCTCCTCACAGTCTCCTGAGTACCTGGGATTACAGGCATGCACCACTATGCCAGGCTAATTTTTGTATTTTTAGTGGAGATGGGGTGTCGCCATGTTAGCCAGGCTGGTCTTGAACTCCTGACCTCAGGTGATCCACCCGCCTCAGCCTCCCAAAGTGCTGGGATTACAGGCGTGAACTACCGCACCTGGCCCCTAAACTTCTTATATTCTTTAGAGATGCTTGTAAATGTATCATTATAAACCCTAGATCAAAGGTCCATGAGGCATAAATATATTTCTCCTCATTTTTGATTTCCCAATGTCTGCTAAAGTGCTGAGGAATCAATACAAATGGGTTCCATAAACAAACAATATTACAGTCCATATAGCAAAATGTTAACAGGAAAAGACCCTCTCAGGAAAAAGGGTCACAGGCTGAACTAAAGTAGTCTTAGAATTCTCAATTGTCAGTACAAAATGAACAAAACCATAACATATACAAAAATAAGAAATATTAACAGCCTTATTGAGCTACATAAACTACACAGAGTATACCATTTGATAAGTTTTGTCATGAGCATGCACCAATGACACCATCACCACAATTAAGCTAATGAACATAAACACATCCATCACCCCCAAATTTTCTCATACCC